CAACATTATCCAGCACCTTCAAAAGGAAAAAGATGTCTCTGGATTTGATGGCAAAGCAACAGAAAACACAGCTACTCAACCCCCAGCCACAGCAGCTAAACCAAGGCCAAAAACAGATGCTGCAGCAACTCCAACCCCAGTGACAGACACTGCAGATAAACCAAAGGACCACCCCGTGCCATTATCGGTTACACTTGTAAGCAAGGGGAAAAGCAAATGAGAATCACAAATAGCAACCTGTGCATTGCAGAAAGATGAAGACACAGTGAACGTACTACAGGGAACGCCATCTGAACAAGATTTATTACTACAGGAATCAAAGGAAGAGGCAACTTCCAGATTCCAGACCTCGACCGAGCTGCGGAATATGCGAAAAGATTTCACCTGTCATCCAGGGGAGCACACTGTCACCTGGTTGCTCCGAAGCTGGGACAAGGGGGCCAATGGTCACCACCTAGACAGCAGGGAAGCCAAGCAGCTGGGACTGACGAAGTGGTTGCAAAACAGAAATGAGCCATCAGCATTTGGAGGCAGCTTTTGGCAGCTGCGAAAGAAAGGATTCACTACAAGGAGGATGTTATGTGTCACTCAGCCAACTGGACCACGATAGAGAGAGGCAGCCAGTCCCTGAGGGAAACAGCCATTTGAGAGATGATCTATAGAAGGCTGGATGCCGGGAATGCATCCGTAGATCCAGATGAAGTCGAATGTACACAACCCATATGGTGGAAACTTACACAGAGTGCGCCATCATCATAGGCCCACTCATTGTCATCAATGACCTGGAACGGAGTGAGGCAGCACCACAAAGAGTGGACGAAATGACTTATCAGCTCCGAGAGTTCAAAGACAATAGCACCCCTTCCATCATTTCAGCTGTGGAAAAATGTCTCAGGAGTTCAAACAATTAAGAGACGATCTATCTGATCTATCCAGCTCCCCATGTGTACCAACCTGTAAGCGGCGAGGAGAAGCAGACAGGCCAACCCAATATGGGTGATAAGCAAACTTCTACTTTATTTGTGACGCAGTTCACATATATATAGGAGTGGTATTCAGCCACTCCTCCTTGGCACAACAGTATTGGTTAGCCCCACACAGCTTCCTCCACATTCTCCTCCCATGTCCGGTTTCCGGTTACCTGTGGGGGCCACCCCCTGCCTTGCTCGCACAGTCCTCCAGGGCTCTATGGTCCTGCTCTTAGAGTCATTCTGCAACACCAACCCACTTCTTAGCTATTAACAGAAGGCGGCCTACTGCCCAAGAGAGAAAAAATAGAAGGTACATGCCACAGACCATCCTGTGGTTTTACCTGCGAGATCATGAAGAAGACATGAGAAAGTGAGATGGAAAACCTACCTCAGTTCTGGAGGAACGGGTGAGTGAATTGAAGGGGAGAATAAGGGTCAAGATTGATCCTCCCATGAAAATCACTTCTCCAGTCTCTAGTGAGCAATTTCCCAGAGGGAGTGGAAGAGCTGATTTTACTCCAACTCCTGTGAGAAAGAATTCTAATACCTTTTTACAAGACATAAGTGGAGAATCTCATCATCACTATTAAAGGGGCCCTGCCTCCAGCCAGGTGGAGGAGAGGGACAATTTGGTTTACTAGATGGACAGGAAGGGATTTTACAGGTACATAGCAAACAGAAAACAGACTAGGGAGAAAGTAGGCCCCCTCAGGAAGCTCTCGGGAGAACTAACTACACAGGATTTGGAGAAAGCTGAGGTTCTGAATGACTTCTTTGCCTTGATCTTCACTGGCAAAGGCTCTGACCACACCACCCAAGTCTAGGAAGGCAGATGCAGAGACTGTGAGAACGAAGACCTTGGGCCCACTGTAGGAGAGGATCTGGTTCGAGACCATCTTAAAAATCTGAACGCGCACAAGTCCATGGGTCCTGATGAAATCCATCCACGGGCCCTGAGGGAGCTGGTGAATGAAGTTGCTAAGCCTCTGGCCATCATTTTTGAGAAATCATAGCAGTCAGGTTAAGTTCCTGACGACTGGAAAAAGGGAAATATAACCCCCATTTTCAAGAAGGGGAAAATGGATGACCCAGGGAATTACAGACCAGTTAGTCTCACCTCTGTGCCTGGCAAAATCTTGGAGCAGATTCTCCTGGAAGGCATGCTAAGGCACATGAAAAACAACAAGGTGCTTGGTGACAGCCAGCATGGCTTCACTAAGGGGAAATCCTGCCTCACCAATTTGGTGGCCTTCTATGATGGGGCTATGGACCTGATGGACAGGGGTAGAGCAGTTGATGTCATCTACCTGGACTTGTGTAAAGCGTTCGACACTGTCCCACACAACATCCTTGTCTCTAAACCGGAGAGACATCAATTTGATGGATGGACTACTCGGTGGATAAAGAACTGGCTGGATGGCCACACGCAAAGAGTTGTGGTCAATGGCTCAGTGTCCGGCTGGAGACCAGTAACGAGTGGTGTCCCTCAGGGATCGGTGTTGGGACCGGTCTTCTTTAACATCTTCGTCGCTGACATGGACAGTGGGATTGAGCATGCCCTAAGCAAGTTTGCCGATGACATCAAGCTGTGTAGTTCGGTTGATATGCTGGAAGGAAAGAATGCCATCCAGAGGGACCTTGACACGCTTGTGAGGTGGGCTGATGCCAACCTTATGAAGTTTAACCATAGCAAGTGCAAGGTCCTACACCTGGGTCAGAGCAATCCCAGGCACAGCTACAGGTTGGGCAAAGAAGAGATTCAGAGCAGCGCTATAGAGAAGGACTTGGGGATGTTGGTTGATGAGAAAATGAACATGAGCCAGCAGTGTGCGCTTGCAGCCCAGAAAGCCAACCGTATCCTAGGCTGCATCAAAAGGAGTGTGACCAGCAGGTCAAAGGAGGTGATCCTGCCCCTTTACTCTGCCCTTGTGAGACCTCACCTGGAGTACTGGGTGCAGTTCTGGTGTCCTCAACATAAAAAGGACATGGAACTGTTGGAACAAGTCCAGAGAAGGGCCACGAGGATGATCAGGGGACTGGAGCTCCTCCCGTATGAAGACAGGCAGAGAAAGTTGGGGCTGTTCAGCCTGGAGAAGAGAAGGCTGCGTGGAGACCTCATAGCAGCCTTTCAGTATCTGAAGGGGGCCTATAGGGATGCTGGAGAGGGACTCTTCATTAGGGACTGTAGTGATCAGACAAGGGGTAACGGGTTAAAACTTAAAGAGGGGAAGTTTAGATTGGAGAAAAGGAGGAAATTCTTTCCTGTTAGGGTGGTGAGGCACTGGAATGGGTTGCCCAGGGAGGTTGTGAATGCTCCATCCCTGGCAGTGTTCAAGGCCAGGTTGGACGAGGCCTTGGGTGATATGATTTAGAGTGAGGTGTCCCTGCCCATGGCATGGGGGTTGGAACTAGATGATCTTAAGGTCCTTTCCAACCCTAACTATTCTATGATTCTATGTGCTTTACACAGTAGCCAGGGAGAATGCTACATGGAGTAAGTGGGCCAAACTTATTACACAGCGAGCTCAAATAAGAAATCCCAGTCATCCAGAAATTCTAGATGTTGTCATGGACTAGCCAGAGGGCAAAGAGTTTGGAATGTCACCAGAGGAGGATGTAATGTGCACTGAAGAGGCCCCACCGTATCATAAACTGAGAATCCATATGCCTTGTTTACTGATGGGTCCTGGGTCTAAGCCATGACAGTAAACTAGCAGGAGCCATCTACAGCGACATCTATTCCATTTGGAGAATAAACAACCTCTCCCCTAAAACTTATGTAAGCATGGCACAGCCTAACTGTTGTGGCATACAAACATAATCAAATCATTAACCTGCTGAAAAATACAAGCAGCAGTGGCAAAACATTTATATTCATGTTCTGGCAAGTCTCAGAAGAGGGAGCTATTTGCTTTCTAGGTACAATTTCAAGCTATGCATCAAGGCTCCTGCTTTATCATTTATATTGTAATATATAGAACAGATTAACAATAATACAAAAACTAGTCTAAATGTAATTTTGAAAGAATCCACTTTCATCTGAGTTTCAGCACTTGCTGCTTTTATTTCATTACTTGAAAATTTATAAACGTTTCTTCATACTGCTGTTGTTTGGCAGGCCCACATAAAGCTCATTTCTTCCAAGTAATTTTGGTTGGAAAACAGCTAAATTCTAAATAGTTCCTTCTACTGCAATTCTTTCTACATTTAAGATCTGCTGTACTTGAGAAAGAGGCAACCTCCTTCATTCCTCTGATGTCTTTGTTTAAGGTATCATTAAGTTAACAGCTTTCTTTCTATGAAAAGTCTGTATAATGAAAAAGGAGCTGAGCAAGATCTTACAAAAACAACCGTTTTCCATTAATTAACTCCAATCTGCAGTGCGTTCATTTTAATCTCACACAGGAGGATATAGTCACTGGTCCCACTCATCCCTGCAGAGGACTAGACACAATCCCCCGAAATCTACACTTAAGTTCCTCTAGAATCAATGCATTAAGAATTGGAGATGCATATCTGTGGGCAGAATTTGGACCACAGCTGTTAGTCAAAAGTGCTGTTTACTGAAGATTCAGAGATTACCCGAATGCCATGAGATTAATACTGCCAAACACAAGACGTGCTTTTGTGAGCCTGGGAAGACATTTGGCAGGGGTGTAACAGTGCCTCTGATGTGTTATGCTATTGTATGCACCAGTCTTTAGAAACACTTGCATAGGAGGAATGTGTGCTTGAAGTGGGACACAAGAATACAGCTCTGTTTATTAGGACAAGCTGAAATATAAATTAAAACTGAACAAACCACTATTCCCTGAAAAGTAGGCCTCATTGTGTCAGTGACAATAGATAATAGTCTGTGGTGAAACACACAAAAATAGAAAAATACTGTTTGGCATGGGTTGTGAGAACATAACCTTGAGTATAGAGGAGATACCATCTCTGCTAGCAAAAGGGAGTCATACCAGTAAACATCTGTGCACACGGCCACGTGTGAGCTGATGTTGCAACTGGTAATTTGCACTCCAGCTGAGGATGGATATGAGGACCTGTGCAGGGACAGACAGGTGAGAAAGCCAGATACGCATCTTGACTGGGGGGACTCCTTGACGATGGATGCACTGCCTTCCACCCCTCCAACTGGGCAACATGTTCAATCTCCTGCTGCTCAGCGGTACCCCGTTCAACCAGGGGTCAGTATGTATGCAACCTGCTTCGCATTAATATATATATTTGCTTCACATTAATACCTCAATAAATAGACTAGAGCATTTAATTATTTATATTGCGTTTGGTGTCCAGTCTTTGTACACGGGAATCCTACGAACCTGAAACACTCATTTAAGATCAACTTTCACCATAATACTCCTCCTTATGATTGACAACTGCACCCAAGTGTATGCTTTTTATAAAAACACACAGGTAATTCTCCAAACATTTATGAAATCAAAAGGGTTTAACAAAAATGGATAATTAATCTCAAAATAAATTACAGTAGCATGACAACATTTGGCTTCTTTAGTGTGACCATGTGCATTTCCTTTGTTATCTTGCTGTTAAGACCATTACAGATCCAGTTCACATCTCTAAAAGTTAATGAGATGTCTGTGATGATAAAGGTATAAAACTCTGCTTGCTACAAGCAAATGTCTGATATCAGTTTCACCTGGTCACAGATTATATGTAGACAGCCTTCTCTGCCCCCCCAATAAATATTATATAGTATTCTTGTAAGTTCAAGCATAATTAGACTCAAACAGAAAACTCAGGTCCTCCTTTCTTTGCTCTCAGTAGAAGTCGCCTGATTTGAAATCCTGCAAAAGGATTGATCCACAGGAGTGAAGGCTGACTCCCAAAAACAGATTTCATTCCTTCCCAATGTAGTCTCCGCTCCCATGTTGGCTTTTCACTCTTCAGTCTTTCAATCTCCTGTGTACAGATAGACATGCCGTGACACACTGTTAAGTCCACAGTTTAGTAAAGTCTAATAATAGCACTTATTGAAGCTGATGATTATTTTGCATTCTTTTGACGTATAGCTAGTGATGTGAGCTGATTAGTTTCTTGCTGTTACTTAGTAGGAATGAAGTAAGAGTGGCTGATTTAGCCCTGCGGGTACAGGGCAGACAACTTAGAACATTAAATGTGTACAAGAAGGCTGGTCTACCTCTACCTCTCCTCCATCAAAGACAAAATTACCAGAAAAGCTGATGTTACAGTAGAGGATCCACACACAACATACCTACACTAGAAGTTGTTTACTCATTTAATGAAATGAGACAATAAGGCTTCTAAGAAGGCTCTTGTGCTGCAATTACTGAAGGTAGTCTTGCTCTCCCAAATGCATTATTTTGATGATCATTTCTTGTACTTCCCACGAACAAAAGCTTGATTTACCAATTATATTTCACAGCTACAGAAATACACTTTTAAACAGCCTCACATGAGAAAATTCTGAACAGCCACAGGATTCAAATTCCTTCTGTTTCCAGTCAATTACCCATCACAAAACAGCCTCTCAAGGCTTAACACTACATTTAAGGGCAGGGGAGCCAAAGGTCCAAACTATGGTGATACTCTAACATGAAGTGTATCAAAATAGAGGAAAACTTGAAGGGTTGATACAAGATACCCAGTTTAAGTGTAAGCCTGAGAAAAGCAGAAATTTCTCATGGCACATATCAGGAGTTTGTGACACTTGAGAAGTGAAAGCCCAAAATGAAGTCAGAATGTGTGCAGTGTCTGTAATTGAAAACCTAATTATAAAATTTAGGCCAGAAAGGTAAATAATATAAGAACTTCTGCTAGAAAGCAAACCTGAAAAAAAAAAATATTGTTACAGCATACAAAAGTAGAGGTCTTTACCGTTTCATCATTGCATATTGAGTGGATTTGGGTGCCAAACATGACTGCAGTGAAAGTGAGAAACAGAAAACCCTCAAGGAACAAGATGATCATCAGGATCACAGTTACAGGTGGGGAGAAGTCACTGCATTCTGTGAAAACGATATACGTAGTGATTAAAAAAAAAAGAAAAAAGTCTATAGAGCATTTTCATACTAAGACATCCCCTCTTCAACAAACAGCAATAAAAAGTTAAATATCTGACACTTGAAACAGTATTTCACAATTAAAACAAACTTCTAATTTCTAGCACTGCAGCAGCGTTATTTGCTGCCCAAGGAAATAAAGAATTTTATGGAAGTAACACTTTTGGCTTCCTATAAAGCATATGGTACTGCATTGCTGCAATCCTGCTTCAATATTTCAAGGATCTCAAATAAATGTTTGCACATGAGAATTTAAATACTCAGATCTGCACATATATAAAGATGAGAGCAGCTTGAAGTTTCATGAGTGACAAGCACTGTAAAAACCACCATTGTCAGCTGACTTGATAGTTTAATCCAGATGTTCCATTTTGCTGCAATTGCTGTTATTTTTTTTTAATTAACCACACAGAAGGTTCTGACTTACAGTCACATCTCAGGAGGCCCTCTGATCAACTGATTAACTCAATTATAGTTAAACAAAGAAGAAATGGGATAGTATACAGGAAGCAGAATATTTCAAGTAAAAGAAGTACTAGGATTCCATCCATTTAATTGAATATTCATCAAAAATCAGTCACATGGATTCCCCTGTTGTTTCAGGTACCAGGAAGAACATACAGTCAACCATCTTCTGGCAAAAGCACAAGGTCAGAATGAGCTCTAGCACAATGGAACATTAGGAAATGCAAGTCAGAGGCCTAAACAAACTACTAGGACAATTTAGGAAATTTCCTTTCTAAAGGAACCCCACAGTTTGTCCCAGTAACAAAATAAGGAAAAAATTAAAGTTCCAGCTGTTGTTCACAGAACTGTGCTGGGACACACAAAGCCCCAGCTGGCAGCTTCAGGTAATATAGCACTGAGTTGGCTGAGGACCAGCTATCTGCTTCCTTCCTATTACAGAGGTAGTAAACTTTTACTATATGGAAAGGGAGTGAGAATGCTGTTGACAGACACAGCTTTTAGAGTGAATGTCTAAAATAAAGGGAACCAAAAGAGTGACAGAGGGAGAGAGAGAAGGGCACAGAGGAGGGCACAGAGAGGGGCAAAGAAAAAATAGGTATGAAATATTTTCAGGACCTCACTTTCAAAAGATTGAAGTCTTGTAATGTTTCATACATGGGACTGAAATAGGTGGAACTTCCCCTTAATTACTGCTAGATTATGACAGTGAAAATTAAGTATTTGCTTACCAGTCCACTGCCCTTGGACACAGGAGAAAAACTGAAACCCACACAGTATGAGCGCATGAGCTGAAATTAGGGCTATATACATCTGGAAATAAGAGAGTGCTTACTTTTGACTGCTGCCAGGTAGTAAAGCAGACATTCCTTTCAGCCAACCTTCACCACCGCACAGCGATTTCAATTTTTAATTCAATACAATGATGTAAAAACAAATTCTAATTAAGCTTGAATCTAAAAACATGGGCAACAATAAAAGTTTAAGGATTAGCTCCCTAAACGATACCATTTCATTAACTGTTACTACATAAAACACAGCAAAATTAATATAGTTTAAAATAACAGCACTTTACAAGATTAAAATAAGTATGAGTAGAAATATCTTCCTCTTGGAGAATATCTTGCATAGACAGAAACAAAACCAAACCCAACAAAACCCAGTAGTGCCCTTAAGACATTACTCAATAAGCACAACCAAAACTTATAATCAAGGTAGATTTGTACTGAAATCAAGCTGCTGTTTTCACTTACCGTAAACAGAACAAAAAATCTCTGATTTTTCTCCCCCACACAATTATTCACCCATGGGCAGTGGTGATCCATCTTTCGAATACATCGTTTGCAAATACTGAAGGACAGAAAAAGAGACTTCTGTTGAGAAAGACTACTTCACATTTTAATGTTGAAACAAGGGTATCTGGTGATCATAAGATGATGTGCTGAATTCTTTCTTGACAAACTACAAACAGTTATTATATTTGCATTTCTTTAAAGAAACTATTTGCTCACTTACAACTCAGGTTTTGGTTGTTACAAAACTGACTGTATACATAAATTTTTCTTCATATAAGAAAACCAGTATTAACATGAGCCCCACTGCAGTAACTTGTTTTAGACACTTGTGGCACTGCATAAGCAAAGTTTTTGTTCTTTCTAGATTCAGTAGAATCTTCCCCTCAGGAGAACCTATTTTACACAAAGTAATTATTTCAAGGTTGCAGACTTAAGTTGTGAATTTGTTTTGTGAATTACAAGGGAAAAACAAACAAACAAACCACACACACCCCAAAGAAATTCACAATTTGCATCTTCAAAGAGAAACTGAGGTTTCAACTGGCCATACAACTGTAAACTGTCGTGGTTTAAACCCAGTCAGGCAACTTGTTCACTCACCCCCAGTGAGTGGTGCCGGGCTGACAGCAATCGAGGGCAACTCCCCCCACTGGGGCTCTCCCCTTCCGCGCTCCCAGAGGAACGGGGAGGAGGATCGAAAGGGTGCAACTCCTACAGGTTGAGACAAGAACAGTCCAGCAACCAATGTACAACACAAATCACCACCGCCACTACCAAAGACAACAACGATAAGAGAAAACAACAAGGGAAGAGAATACGATACCACCAGCCAAGAAACGAGCCCCACCTGGAAGCCCGTGTCCTGGGTAACTCCCAGTTACCCCCCACCCTGGGCATGACGTGCTGTGGTATGGAACACCTCCTTGGCTAGCTTGGGTCAGGCGCCCCGTCTCTGCTTCCTCACAGCTTCCCCTCCTCCCTGGCAGAGCATGAGCCTCACAAAGTCCTTGGTCAGGGTAAACATCACTTAGCAACAACCGAAAATATTGGTTTCACCAACACTGTTCCCAGGCTGGAAGTCAAAACACAGCACTGCACCAGCTACCACGAAGGAGAAACATGACTGCTACTGCTGAACCCAGGACATAAACATATGCCAATATGGTCACTCCTCACTTCCTCAACATAAAAAAAAAAATACTGACACTATAAGCAGCACACATTCTTTGCCTACTTGTTAATGAATATTTAAACACTGCTGTTCCTTGCTACTTTTGCAAATAAACACTTCGTTTCTGCCAAGTTTTGAGTCAAGGTTATTTCCACAAGTCAAATATTTCAGTAACTCTATTTTATATCTCCTAGGCCATACACCACCAGAGGGCTCATTTGTCTTATATCTGCATCTGTCCATCTCCAGCCAAACATGAACAGTTATACAAGAGAAACAAAAGAGGTGCAATATGTGCAGAAGTTCTTCAATTAATCAATAGCTTAAGTAATACTACTGATGTTGAATTTTCCTATCTTTGTGTTTGAGAGCCACACAAAATATTCCAGATTTTCCTGCAGAACATACAAAATATTAAGCATTTTCATTTTGGCAGTTACAAAGGCAAACAAACCTTAAAAAATGCAGGCACTACATTCCCACTGCCTCTGGTTTTACAGACATTAAAGACAATTCATCCTCAGATGCAAATTGCTTCTTAACTAGTGCCAGATACACACGAAAATCCCAAAACCATAGCCTAAGCCGGTAACTCAGAACCACACAGCCACTCACTCACTCCCCCACTTCTTCCTCCCCCAGCTCCTGGAGAAATAGGGAGGAGAACAGAAAGAATGCAACTGACTCAAGTTGAGATAAGAACAGTCCAGTAACTAAGGTATAATCCAAAACTACTGCTGCTACCACCAATAATAATAAAGACAAGGGATATAACAAAGGAAGAGAATACAACCGCTCAACACCTGCTGACCGATACCCAGACTGACCCGAGCAGTGATCTAGCCCTTCTGGGTAAATCCCCCCAGTTTATATACTGGGCATGACGTGCTGTGGTATGGAATACCCCTTTGGCTAGTTTGGGTCAGGTGTCCTGTCTCTGCTTCCTCCTGGATTCCCCTCCAGCATGAGCATGAGACTCAAAGTCCTTGAAGTATACATTAATAAGCAATAACTAAAAACAATCAGTGTTATCAGACTTGTTCCCAGGCTGAAAGTCAAAACCACAGCACTGCACAAGCTACAAAGGATAAAAATGACTGATATAGCTGAACCCAGAACAGTATTCACCCCTGTCGTGGTTTAAACCCAGTCAGGTAATTCGTTCGCTCACTTCCCCCCCTTTCTTGCCCTCCCCCTGCTCTCGGAGGGATGGAGAGGGAAATCAAAAGAATGCAACTCCCACGGGTTGAGATAAGAACAGTTTAGTAACTAAGGTATAACACAAATCACTACTGCTACCACCAATGATAATAATGATAAAGGAAATAACAAGGGAACAGAATACAACACCTCACCACCCACTGACCGATAACTCGCCCCCCAAGCCCGACCAAGCTCCGACCGATACCTCCTCCAACCCTGCAGTCTCCCAGCCCTTCCGGCTAACTCCCAGTTACATCCTGGGCATGACGTGCTGTGGTATGGAATACCTCTTTGGTCAGTTTGGGTCAGGTGTCCTGTCTCTGCTTCCTCCCAGCTTCCCCTCCTCCCTGGCAGAGCATGAGGCTCACAAAGTCCTTGGCCAAACCAAAACATCTCTATCAGCTCTGTTCCCAAGCCGAAAGTCAAAACACTGCACTGCACCAGCTACCAAGGAGGAGAAACATGACTGCTACTGCTGAACCCAGGACATTATCCACCCCTTATTCCATACCATTCACGTCATGCTCAGATCCCACATTTTCAATATACCATCACTCTTATCTCGGTGCACTCTTATCTTAGTGCATGGACCAGTCCCTATAAAGCTGCTGCGTCCATCTGGTCCATGTCAGGCTCTATCTCTTGTAACAGTCTTCCAGAGCAGGAGAGACTGTGTGCAGTGTTCACACTCGTGAATAACCTGGGCAATAGTGCCCATTGCTAAGTCCACCCCTCGATCATGAGTCCATCTCTGTGTTGCATCTCTGCTCTGATGGCCTGAAGTGCCATGGGCCCACCAGGCTTAAAATAATTCACTGTCCCCTTAAGCAGTTTCTGCAGCTTGTTGCTGGGGACTCCATACAGCTGCCTTCCATCTCCGACGCTTCCAAAGCACTGGAGGGGCCCAGTGGACTAGATACTTGCCCATACTGTCCCACACACCCTGCCACTCATGACTCTCCAGCCTTGGGGAAAATCTCTTGGTCCCCCTATATTGTTGTCTAACCCCAGACAAGACCCAAACCTGACTCTGCTTAACTTTTGAGATCAGACAAAATGGTTGTGGGTAGAACACAGCCTGTGTGTGTGCCAACATGCTGATCCCCATCACAATCAGCAGGCAGGTCCCAAGGATACCCAAAGGCCATTCAGAGCCTTCAGAACTCTCAAACGATGCTGCTGTACTTGTCACTGGGGCTGGTGTAGCTGCTGTGCTTGCCGGCTCTCCCACCACCGGCTTCTCTTTTCCTGAGTCCAGCTCTTCCTCCTCTGCCTTGCTGGGAAGTGCTGCGTGGTCTCCTGCATCCTCCTGAGGCTCGGCGGGTGGCTGCCGGGGAATGCTCTCGGCCGTCGCGGGGCTCGGCTCCTCCGCGGGGCTCGGCTCTTCCGCGGGGCTCGGCTCTTCCGCGGGGCTCGGCTCCTCCACCGCCTTATCCCGCTGCTCGGCAGCCGCTTCCTTCTGCTCCTCGACCGCCCCGGCCTCCTCCACCGGCAGCCGTCCCCTGGCGGCCTCCGGCCCCGCTCCCGCCGCCGCTTGGTCCCCGGGGCCGCTCCTCCGGGCCGCTTCAGCAGCCGCCGGCTCCCGGGGCCGCTCCCCCTCGGCTCCCCGCAGCCTCACGAAGATGGAGAGTAGGGTGAGGGCCAGGACGGTGAAGAGCAGCCGGACGGCCAGGTACAAGTCCACGGCCACGTCCGTCCCGCCCTGCTGCTGGAGCCCGCCCGTATTACAAGCCATTGCCATAAAGCACAGTGAGACAAGAACCTTAGCCCAGGCCCCACACTTGATAAACACTAACACAGCAAATACCGGCTCTACATAAGTTACAACGGTCTGAAGCTGTGAGATCAAGAAGAACAACTCTGATACCCAATAAATCAGCATTGTGACGAATGACTATTAATCCAGTCAAATCTGTCGTTATCTCAACCCTTCGTGCCCCACGTTGGGCGCCAAAAAGAACTGTCGTGGTTTAAACCCAGTCAGGTAATTCGTTCGCTCACTTCCCCCCCTTTCTTGCCCTCCCCCTGCTCTCGGAGGGATGGAGAGGGAAATCAAAAGAATGCAACTCCCACGGGTTGAGATAAGAACAGTTTAGTAACTAAGGTATAACACAAATCACTACTGCTACCACCAATGATAATAATGATAAAGGAAATAACAAGGGAACAGAATACAACACCTCACCACCCACTGACCGATAACTCGCCCCCCAAGCCCGACCAAGCTCCGACCGATACCTCCTCCAACCCTGCAGTCTCCCAGCCCTTCCGGCTAACTCCCAGTTACATCCTGGGCATGACGTGCTGTGGTATGGAATACCTCTTTGGTCAGTTTGGGTCAGGTGTCCTGTCTCTGCTTCCTCCCAGCTTCCCCTCCTCCCTGGCAGAGCATGAGGCTCACAAAGTCCTTGGCCAAACCAAAACATCTCTATCAGCTCTGTTCCCAAGCCGAAAGTCAAAACACTGCACTGCACCAGCTACCAAGGAGGAGAAACATGACTGCTACTGCTGAACCCAGGACAACCCCTTATTCCATACCATTCACGTCATGCTCAAATCCCACATTTTTCAATATACCACTGCTTTTGTCTCATATATATATAAGAAAAACCCACATTGACTGATTGATGGCTTGGCTTCCTGAACGAAGATTTGGGAAGGGCTTTACCCATGCTTACTAC